AGCTGTGCTGAAGTCAGCTTGACCTAGTTTGGCAGAGACAAGCTGAAAGTTCGCTGCAGAAACTATCACCAGCTACCCTCTGCCTCACATGGGGGTCTCCCTTGCCTGGATGAGTACTTGGTTCCTGCTGCTCCTTCCCCGGGCTGTACAGGCGGAGCACGGCAGGTCGCTGCCAGCTCACCTCCCACGCTGCTCCCACCGCTACAAGCCCTTGCAGCACACTGTACCTCTGCACAGCTGCAGGGCAGCACTTATCTATCACACTTGCAGCAATTTGCAGAGAACATACCATCTACCTGATCCATTACGTGCTCCTTCGTGGAATAGTGACCAAGAAAGCTGGTCTCCATCTCCTTGCAAAGCACAAGGAACAGATGCTGAACACTGATGACAGGCTGATGTTCCGAAACTTTTGCCATTGATTTTGCTTTTGAAGACTGCAATTGCAACAATGCTTCAGGAGGCAAAAACTCAAAGTTACAGCTCTTTTCACTTAGTGCTTATTCACAAAAACCACACTGGTTTGTTCTGTCCAAATATTTTGGATTTCTTATCTTGACAGGATGTAAAACCTGCCCAAAGTGTATGGAAGTTGTTTGGGAGAAGAAAGTCCTCAAATAACCGCACCCCTAGATTATTCCAGTATCAGGAAAGCTGAAAACAAATCCACCTCTGGCCTCCTGAGGTGTGACTGCTGTATTGTCTCTTTTAAAGCCTCAGCACAGAGCTTGGTTGGCTAAATTTCCTGACCCTACAAACCACCCACCAAATTTTTCATGAGGCTGCAAAGGCACTGTTCGTGGCTGTCTGAGATTGAGCAGGAGGAGGAGTTCTGGGAGGAAGGCACAGTTGGGAATGGACAGTGTTTTTCCAGGGCCTCCCCCACACACACATCCTTTTATTTTATATACTGAAGTACACATCAAGAAACAATTCCTTCTGTAGGAACTTTGCAGTCCAGCTAGATAAAGGAGACAAAAAGCAAGAGCAAAGGGGTATTGTCATCATGATCTCATTTTATACATAGAGTGTGGGGCAGCAGAAATTAAATGTACTGCACAGCTGGAGAGCAGCGCCCACCTGCAAAGCTGCATTTCTAGCTACTCTATCCATCATTGCAGTGTAAAAGGTTTTATTTTATTTAAACAGGCAGAACTGTTAGGAAAGAAATTTTTAGATCCTAGCCTAAACTCCTGGGGATATGGAGGAAGATGTAGAAAAAAAATATAATCAAACTTCTGCTAGACTGTTGTAGAATCCTTGAAAACACTCTATTACATCTCACTATTATCCTGCATTTCACCGTTATTGGAAAAGGCACAAATAAAAACATCCCTCTCCCAGCCTACTCTGACCTCCCTTTAGAACACGGTGCTCTCTTTAAGTCAAAAATCATGCATGGACATCTGTATGTATTAAGTACAGTGTTTCATGTAGCATATATTGTGTCAAAACACAAAACTGATGGAAAAAAAATGATGAAAAAGTGGCCTTGACTACTTTAAATCACTTTTTTTTTTTTTTTCTCTCCACTAGTCAAAAATAAAGACTGATGTAATAAATAAAGCAGTGGAAGGGTGGAAGGATGCCAAAAAGATAGTTGTCTTCATGTTATTTTGTGGCTTACTGCATCATGCTGAAGATCTTAGCATTAGAACATGTTGAATGTTGTAAGAATGTGCCTGCAAGCATTGAGCAGTTCCCTTCTCTTCCAGAAGTGGATGTGTGAAGTAAATCCTCTCTTTTCATTGCATATTAATAGAGATAGGAAGTGGTTATACATATGAAGAGATTAAGCTATTATGTATTTTATCTGTGGTAATCAATCATTAAAATACAAGAAGAGCATGAAGAACCTATTTCATCTCAATATGATGCCTCTCTACTTCTCAAACATGCTTTGCCAGTACTGTCTATAAGTCTTTTAGACTTAATACTTTACAGTTATTAGGAAATGATATCCATCTATTTTTTCCTCAAACTTCTTCAAAACCTGTTTCATTATCTTGTCCCAGACAATTTTCAGATTTCACCTGCTCTGCACTTGGTATACATGTACTTCCAAATTTAAAATCTTGACTACAGTAAAGTTCTCAGCAGTGGCCAGCAGAAATACAAAACATACACGCTAAACATAAATAAATTAAAATAGTCTCTACAAACTAAGTCCTCACAGCTGTGGTTGTCTGAAACATGGCTGGATAATGTTCACTGATGTGGCTCCTTAGCTAATCTAGGAAACTAGAAAGTTTGAAGACCAATGGAATAATGGAACAGAGGCCACAAGAACAAAACATCATCCATTTGGCAGTAGCATCATTTGGTTAGTGAAAAAATATTTGCAAGGTGAACAGTTTGTCATATAACTGCTGCCAGTTCTGGGACAGTCTCCTACTTATTTTCTTTCACTTTCAAACATAATAGCTAGTGTTAATGCATTTAAAAATACAAGAAATACTTTCTCTTTCCTACTCTCTTAACAGACTGTCATCTCAGTGTCTCCTCAGAAAAAGAAGTTGAGGTATTGTGATATTAGGCAGTTTATGATTCTTCCTTATTTCTGCTCTTATCCTCACCTTTCTCCTTTTAATTATAGATTTTCTTGCAGCTCCTGCCCTGCAAATATTGAAACAGCATCAATAACCCTAAAGATGTGGGCTCATAAACACTGTTTTATTTTTCATATGGAAAGGCTTTTGTGTCCATGGCTAATATTCACCTCCACCTTCCTTTTAAATCTGGTGCACCAACTCTCTTCTGAGATGTACTCTAATGTACCCCTCAGATTTAATGCCACCAATACTGAAAAAGGCTGCGTCCTACTCCAAGTCCATGTGTGAGACTTCCATTTCAGAGCAGAGAGAGTAGTTACTTCCTTCACTTTTCTTTAGAAAAGTACTTTTTGTTTTTAAATATAAATTTGGATGCAATTTTACCCAATAGATAGCAAATATCTGTGATGAAGTTATATTCACACATTCTATAAAATGCAGATTGTATAATATAGCATGATGGCTTTGTTCCATTATGCTTCATTACTAGGTTGAAAATTACTGACACTGTACATTTTTTCTCTTTAGTGTTCTATCATTTTAAATTATGACTGCACTGTAGGTTACTCAGTGTAGTAAATAATCTAAAAACATTTTCTGCCTGGCACCCTACTAACTGCAACAACACCTTCCTTCCCAGGTGGTCCTAAGGCCTTTCTCAAATTCTCGTTAGGTAATTACATTCTGCCTGCCTGAGGTCTCCTCCTGACTCCACAAATGCATTCTTCATTTGTCATGGACAGTTTGTAGTGGTGCTGCAGGCTATGGAACAACTGCACTTGGGTGCAACAGCAGCTTTGGTACCTCAGTACAACTTACCTCAGTTGTTTTCCATTCTCTTTAGGATCATGGGATAAAACTTGACAGAAAATAACTTGGGGGGTGGGAGGAGTTGTTTTCAGAAATTAAAATTTAATGCTTGAGTTAATTAGCTTCCTAAAGATTCAAAACTACTTATTCTTCAGATGTAGAGTTAATCGTTAACATGTTATCTAAAGCCTCTGACATTGCTTCAGAAAACAAAGTTAAAATAATACTAGAGAAAATAACATGATCACTGATACTCTGAGAGAGCAGAGAATCAGAGAATGAAGGCATGTCAAACAAGGAGAAATCACCATAGGCTGGGCTTTTTAATCAGTAATTCCAACCTTAGCATTTATATGTGTAGTACACACCTTAGAGTAGTAGAAGAATATGTAATAAAGCATTTAATTAATTCAAGGAAAGGGGTCCATAAAAAAAAAAAAAAAAAAAAAAAAGCAGGTATTTTGGGAGATATCATTTCAGGATAATTAAGCATTCCAAATAAATACAAATTCTTGTTTTCTTGTTCACTTTCATAAATGTAGACAGTGATCCAGATCAGACTCATAACTGTGTCAACAACTGAACTGCATTAAAGAATCAAGTTCCATTATGTGGTATTAAAGGTTCCTTTTTGAAGATAATAAGTAGTTTATCAGAAATCCAAAAATATTACTCAAGATTATGTTTAGCCTTATGCTCATTGAGGACTACAGACAACCAAGCAGAAGCAGAATATTTCTTACTCATGAACAAAGCACATCACACTGGAGGGAAGTAGACATTTTTTTTCTTCCAAAACTTCAGAAAAGACAAAAACTTGAACACTAAATACACAAAAGCAAAAAGAAACGTTCTGAACCCAGAACAGCTCCTTTTGTGGTGGCTCAAAGACTTACCACTAATTCATAAATCTATGGTACAAATCTGAATCAAGCAGAATAGAGATCTGCAAACAGATTTTCCTGTTTCATGCAGTCTAAACACTAGAGCATTAATTTCTTTCTCTTTCAGATTTTGGATAGGATTTTCCTTCAGGGCTTAAGAAAACTTTCCAGTCAAAACCTACATACCTGCTGATAATTCCAGAGGAAAAACACAAAGATCTCCAATATGTGACTGTGGTAGGACTACTTACACTAATGCATTGAAGTGAAAGCACATTTTAAGTGGTTTTCTGGATAAATACCAGTCTACTCAACATTTTTCTAATCCAAGATCCAAATTAATCATCATATTGTTATAACAAAATAAATATGCACCGTATTATAGTGGAATTTTGATCATATTAAAGTTATATTAAAGATATCTCCAACTACCCAAATAAGCCTTCTCAGTAATGACATACTGGAAAACTGGTGCAATTTTCCTAAATTATGCCATTCAAACCTTAACTCATACACAACTTTGTGTCTAATCAGACCTTAATAGACAATCAGTATTTCAAAAGGAAGACGATTAACTAAAATAAGATGCTTTTATTTATAAATGAAACATATGTCACTGAGGCATTTTCTCCAATGTAATTATTAATCAGTTAATCTAACTCTTCACTCTAGTCCACCATCTCAAGCAAGGGAAGCTGATTACAACTTGCAAAGTTCAATTAAATTAAATATTTGTCTGTAGTAATGTACTTACAGTAGAAATTATGTCTTGCTTGTAGGTTCCTCATTTGGTGATGTAATATTCAGAAGTCACCATGCTTTTGGTCTTAGATAAAGCATTTCCTTCATGGCTCTCTTTAAGTAGTCTTCTGAACAAGTCATTGCATCATAATATACTCTCTTCTCACATACATGTATGTTCTCTTTCTGTATTTTCTGTCCAGAATACTCAATAGACACATAAAAGTAAACCAGTGAGTTACTAATTATGATACATGGCATTTATAGCATGTTTTATATCTTCAAAGTATTTTACAAATAACAGCTGATTGAACAGGTTAGGAAACAGAAACCTGAATGAAAATTACCCAAAGTCCCTTAAAAGATTGAATAATTGTATCCCAAATGTTCCAGAAGGCTTTAAAAGACCACAGCTTCTTTGCTATAAATGAATAGATCAAAATCAGTGTTCCCATTAATTCTTCCTTTCTTAAGCATCATTCACATGAAACATGCATATGCAGCATGTAGTCTAATTGCTGCTGAAAGAGCCCCAGTGTATTTTAAGAGTCAGGTGTGCCTCAAAGTATATAATTTGATCCATTCTTTAAAGAAGGAAGACTTACATTGCTACGATTTCTTTTTTAATTCATGAGTTTCCTAAGTAGCAGTCACAAACCAGGCTCAAGTATCTTTTCTCAACTGTATCAATAGTTTTTGATTAGGACAAAGGAGAAGGGAATAACATACTCTTCACAAGGTTTGATTTTCTTTTCTGTACCCTCTTTTTTTTTCAGTTTTGTATCTATTTTATCTATCCATTTTTCCTTCCCATGTGGTGCAATATTATGATTATCTCCATTATGAATTTTGATAAAGGACCCTGAGTTATTTAGTTCCCTTCAGTTGCACTTGGACTTGCCAAGTTCAGATGTCAGTGTTTTGAGGCATACTGGTTATTTTTTCTTTAACTCCTTCAAAATATATAGGTAGCATAATTATTTCATATTCTAGAAAATAGGAATAGTTGTAATGGCCACTGAACAAAACAGACAAGCAATGCTATTTTAAGTAACGTGGTGATACATCAGTCTTATCCTTAACCTTATCCTGAAATTTCTGATCTATCATCTTAAATATTTGAATAAATGGAGACGTGTTAAGAGAATTAATGTAATTATAGCACTTGAACATTGTGGAATCCACTTGTAAATATAGACACCCAGCTACAAACAAAATAATATTATGCTCAGTAAAAGAAAATCTGACTTGACCTTTGGGACTTTAACTTGTAGCCAAACATTTGTGCACACTTCATTTCTGATCCACTACTTATAATTCCAGTTCTTTTACGGTCAACAGATAAACTCCTCCAGACCAAAAAAAAAAAAAAAAACAAAACAAAAACAAACAAACAAAAAAAAATTAGAAAAAGAAAAAAAGCTGCAGAAGACTGTGTTACAAAGAACTCAATCCCTCACGTTTAATTAAACACAAAAATTTTTGATGAATTTCACAGGTTGGTAATCTGGCCCAGACTTTGGAAACTGACCCATATGTGACAGCACTAAAGCAATTACAGCCCTCATGGCCATTCATATGATGTAATTTCTTAAAATTTTCATAGAAACTCTTAATATGGGGATCTGCCATATCTGAGTTCCTATGACAGATACCTCAATAGTTTCACATACCCAACTTTCACAACTTTCTACCAGAAGCTCTAAAATATTTAATATTTTGCTTAAAGCCCTGATGTCAGCCAAGTATATTAGAACACCTTTTTTATTTTTAATTTGATTTCTTGGTCCTTTGTTTGCAGTGAAGAGCAGGAAATGTGAATCACAGTTGACAAGGACCAAATAAAGCAAGACCATAATAGTCTTTTTGATTAACTTTAAAACTTTATACTTACCAGGAGCCTGATAGCTAAGCTTTTGAACAACTATGATGAAGACATAGATACATATTGTAGGAAAATCTGCCTTGCAGCAGACTTTGCTATGCATTATTTGATAATAAGTCACTAGTGTAAGGAGCTCTTTAGAGAACTTTTTCTATGTTGTACATTTGAAGTACAGGATGCCAGCTTCTCTGCAAGCAACTGCTTACAGCAACCATTTTGATGGACAATGCTCCTCTGCTCCTGTTTCATTTAAAATGATACAGGTCTTTTAATACAGATGTGTGTCTCTCTGTGAAAAGCAAACATTTAAATCTTGCCACCTACCTACCAATGACAGTATATCCCACAGAAAACCAAGGCTCAGGAATTTTAGGTCAAAAATAAGTAAATTATTGGAACTATAAAAAGTATCAAAGATGGTCAAAGCAAGCCTGACACTGTGATACGAAGGCATACATTATCAAGAGAGATTTTTGTCATAGCATAAGTTTCTGCTCTAAACCTGCTTTGATTGCTTAGCTTTAATCTTTTTTTCTTTTTCTTCTCTCTCTCTTTTTTCTTCCCCATAGGCAAAATCTTATTCCTGATGTGTACATCTACAAAAATGCTTTCAGATGATCAATTCTATTTATTTAGGACATTTTTGATCATTTGGTTATTACACAAACAAACAAATTGCTTGTTCTCATTTCTGTAAGTTGTGTAAATCATTTCTGTGAGCAATTGCCACAACTCTCTGTATAAATTTTGTGTGCCTGCACTTGGTACTAACAATAATCAGGGGTGTATTAAACAAATTCACTTAATCTGAATCTGCTGCAGTTAATGAAGATATTACAGTGTAAATTCATGATGAGGGAGATTCAGGCTCTATACATCAGAGGCTAATTAACAGGTTTTCTTGAAATTCCTGAAGGAATGGGAATTATGCTGGGTTATCCCCTGAGAACTGGGGTAGATGAAATTCTCTTTACTTTCATAAAATAATGGAAATATCACTATATTTGCATCACATATATATATATATATTATATATTAAGCCTATACAGCCATAACTCTGATTTCATGTATCTCAGTCTGCAACATGTAGTCATCTGAATTTTCTAAACTGGAAAAGTATTATGGCTAGTAGATCTTACATCAACATCCACTTTGCCCTCACTGTTTATTTCATTCCTTTCTGTTCACTACCTCTTCTCTCCAAACCTGTTACCAAAAAACTTTTTAAGGGTCTTTTTAGTCTCTTCTATAGAATACATTTATACCAGAAGACAACGTCAGATAGGGCAGTTCAAAATGAAAAGCAAGCAAACAAACAAAAACAACAGTAATAATTAGTCCCATAAATTTATCTGGTTTATGAAATGGCTTGGGTATTTTTTATTTTTATTATTTTGTTTTTCCATGTTTGAACCTTTTATCTGTGTTGTTTTTATTCCTGTGTTGATCACAATTTGCAGTTATGAACGTATTCCCCAAAAGCCTAAATTATTCATTTCAAGACAATTCAAAAATACTCAAACCTTCAATATAATTTTACCTTTTTTCCTCTTTTCCATCAAAAACTCCATCAGACAATTCCAGGTTTCTCTTTCTGATTGAATTTTAGAACAAAAACTACAGCTAATTTTGTATGGTTTACCACAAACAGAACATCTCTCCTTTGCATACAGTGCATATGCATAGCAATCTATGCATTTGAGCACAGTAGCAATATATGTCTGGACCCAGAAGCATTTTCTCTAATGCATTAGAGAAGGTTTTTGTTGTGCTATATGAGCTGAGAGAAGACAATGCAAGAATACATTCAAAGTTTCAAGTGTCTTTTTGGTCTTGTACCATCACACATAAATCTGTTGACATTTTGTTACAAATAAATTACTCAAATCACTCTTCTCTAAAGAAGGTAATAAAAGCCTTTCCTGTTTACAAAGTTCAAGAAAGTTCAGATGTTTTTCTCACACCTAATGCATGGAAAGCTACCAAAAAAGAAGAGCAGGAAACACTTGTTTGTCCCTTGTCACATCACAAGACAATTAACACCAGGCCAGTTACCATAAATGTTAGGCTAAAGACATCCCCTAACTTCCATATCTGGTGTAGCTGGCCTCAGTTCCCTGTATCTGAGAAAATGGGCTAAGTCCAAAGGTGGCCAAGGTTCAGACCCATTGCACAGTGACACACACAGCTGCCCCAGGGGCAGGGCTTGCTTGGCAAAGCTGCTCTCTCATAGTTTCATCCCTTAATCTGTTTCAGAAGAAATAAAATAATAATCAGTCCTCAGCAGCTTCCAAAAGCATCTTGTGCTTTCTGCTTCACCACCAAGTCAAACAGATGAGTTTCAGACATTGCTTCAGAGTTGACTTCAACTAAGCAGTCTTTGTCCTGAAACAGGCTGAGGAGTGCTCACACACTGGTTTACAGTGAGTCTGTGCTCAGTAAGCTGTTTTTGTCTGCCTCTTGTAGTTCTCAGGCCTCATGTCAGACACAACATCTGAAAACGGTCCTATAGGTAGGCTGTAAACACACTAGTCCATGAACTGGAGAGGCAAACTCAGCTTCTGAGCAAACAAGCCCTAAATAAGCTCAGATAAATCACAGACTCTTAGAATCATTAAGGCTGGAAAAAATCTCCAAGATCGTCTGGCCCAACCATCACCCTATTACCAATGTCACCCACTAAACCATGTCCCTAAGCATCACGTCCAACCTTTCCTTAAACATCCCCAGGGATGGTGACTCCACCACCTCTTTGGGCAACCCATTGATAGCAAAATGCCTGGCTAGTTTATCTGAGAAGAAATATGTCAGCAAATGTCTGACTGCTCTTTCTGAGAAGAAATGTGTCTCCTCATTTCTAACCTAAACCTCCCCTGGCGCAACTTGAGGCCTTTCCCTCTAGGCCTAGTCACCTGTGAGAAGATGCCAACCCCCAGCTCCCCACAGCTTCCTTTTAGCTAGTTGTAGAGAGCAGTAAGGTCTCCCCTGAGCCTCCTCATCTCCAGACTAAACAACTCCAGCTCCCTCAGCCACTCCTCACAGGACTTGTGCTCCAGACCCTTCACCAGCTTCGTAGCCCTTCTCTAGACACGCTTCAGGGCCTCGATGTCCTTCTTGTTGTGAGGGGCCCAAAGCTGAACAGAGCACTCGAGGTGCGGCCTCACCAGAGCAGAGTACAGGGGACGATCACCTCCCTGCTCCTGCTGGCTGCACCATCCCTGACACAAGCCAGGATGGCGTTGGCCTTCTTGGCCACCTGGGCACACTGCCTGCTCATGTTCAGGCGAGCATCAATCAGCACCCCCAGATCCTTTTCCTCTGC